GAGGGCGGGTCGCGGTGCGAGGGCGGCTGAAATACGAGGGTCGGGTGTGGTGTGAGGGCGGGTCGCGCCCCGAGAGCGGGTCGCGGTGCGAGGGCGGGTCGCGGTGCGAGGGCGGGTCGCGGTGCGAGGGCGGGTCGCGGTGCGCGGGCGGGTCGCGGTGCGAGGGCGGGTCGCGGTGCGAGGGCGGGTCGCGGTGCGAGGGCGGGTCGCGGTGGGGCGGGCGAGCTGCCGGCGGCGGCGGGCGGGCGCGAGCGGGTGGGCGCGAGCGGGTGGGGGGGGCGGGCCGGCGTGCAGCCGCGCCCAGCGAGCCGCGCCCGCGGGGCCATGGCCCAGCCATCCCGGCCATCTGGTTTGCCATGGCGCGGCGCAGCGCCAGCCATCCCGGCCATATGGTTCGGAGGAGCAGCAGCCATGGCCACGCCGGCAAGCGGGGAGGGCGGCCACTCTACAAACCAAGCCCACACCTCTCCGCCATGGCTAAGCCGATGATTGAGCCATCGGGCCATAGCCGGCGATCGGCCATAGCCATGGCCAGATTTTGCACACGCCCTCTGCCGCGCTCGGCCATGGCGCGGCGCCTAGCCATATGGTTCGGAGGCGCTGCAGCCATGGCCACGCCCGGCAAGCCGGGAGTCGCGAGACCACGCCCACACCTCTCCGCCATGGCTAAGTCGATGATTGAGCCATCGGGCCATAGCCGGCGATCGGCCATAGCCATGGCCAGATTTTGCACACGCCCTCTGCCGCGCTCGGCCATGGCGCGGCGCCTAGCCATATGGTTCGGAGGCGCTGCAGCCATGGCCACGCCCGGCAAGCCGGGAGTCGCGAGACCACGCCCACACCTCTCCGCCATGGCTAAGCCGATGATTGAGCCATCGGGCCATAGCCGGCGATCGGCCATAGCCATGGCCAGATTTTGCACACGCCCTCTGCCGCGCTCGGCCATGGCGCGGCGCCTAGCCATATGGTTCGGAGGCGCTGCAGCCATGGCCACGCCCGGCAAGCCGGGAGTCGCGAGACCACGCCCACACCTCTCCGCCATGGCTAAGCCGATGATTGAGCCATCGGGCCATAGCCGGCGATCGGCCATAGCCATGGCCAGATTTTGCACACGCCCTCTGCCGCGCTTGGCCATGGCGCGGCACAGCGCCTAGCCCCCACGGCCATATGGTTCGTTGCATTAGGGTTCATTAGGGTCTCAGCATATGTGGGGAGGAGACCCTCTTGAACAAAATTATTCAACTCAGCGAAAACCTTTTGGTACACGTGATGCGCGGGACACTCGTCTCGCGACCGCGCCCCGCTCCCTTTTGGTACATGTGATGCGCGGGACACTCGTCTCGCGACCGCGCCCCGCTCCGCCCGCGGGTAAGCCGACGATCGAGCCAGCAGGCCATGCGTCGGTGACTGGTACGGAAGGAGAGAAGCGGCTAGCACAGCATAGATGCTCTTGGCAGTGAAGAAACTAGCAGTCAGTGCTGAACAACGGAAATCTGTGGCAACCACAGGTCTTCCGGTTCACGAGCAAACCTCACCAACACTGACGACGAGTCCTCATCAACGCGTTCAACCAGGCCGGTCTTGCCCAGAACACCCCGCACAGTAGGCCAAGGGGTTGACTCCGGAGTCAATCATGACCTTTAACCGTGAGAAACCTACTCTAGCGGCGGTGCACGTGACAACGTCGCCTTCGCTTGGAGCCCAGCCCCTGCTGATGTCACCGCGCTCTCCAAAAGATGCGAGTTGCTCGATCACATACTGCGCGTCACGCCTGCCATCGTCTGCCATTCGAACCAGCTGTATGTGCAACTGAAGCTGTGCAATTTGCAAATTTTCGTCACTTTTGCCAGTAAAGGCGCGAGCAAGTAGGTCGTTCATGTCGGCGCGAGCGGCTGCATTGGTGGTGCTCGCTTGCAGCTTGCGACGCAACCAATCTCTGGTGTCCATGCACTGAAGCCCCTAAGGGAGGACGCTGGGAATACCCATGCGTTCGTCGGCTGCGCTAGCGGCTAGCGGGTGATGTCCCAAAAGAAAAAGGGAGACGTGATCATTAATCTCGCTCTCATGAGTCCCCTGCGATAAACAGGTGCACACCACCCCCGGTGTTGCGCGAGAAAAAGAAATCACCGCTTTTCCTTCCAAGATCCTGCTTCAAAATCCCTTTGATTGTGGTGGTGGCGTGCCGTCCTCCGACCCATTCCTCCCTTGGTATTGTCCGTTTTCTTTTTGCTTTCTTCAAGATCCTGCTCGTGCAGGTGGGGACCCTGTCCTTCTCCCACCCTCGCTTACTCGAGTAGCGTGTCCGTTTTACGGGGTGGTGTGGACCGTGAGTTGACCAGGGGTTGTGCGCCGGGCCCTCCTGCTCGGCTCCAGCCAGTAGACAAGTCTTGTCACTAACAGAGTAGAAGGATCTGACCTCGGGGCCGATGTGGCCAAGCGCTGGTAGCGTGGTTTTACCTCACACCCATGGTCTCACAGTGTGCCGGCAGTCGCCGAGCAGTGTCGCTCACACAAGCCGCAGCACAAGTGACTGAGGGCCAGTGAGGGCGAGCCCATCGCTGTCACAGCTGTGGTAGCCGCACAGTAGGCTGTGTCAACTGTGCAGAGCGTGTGAGCAGCCGAGGAGCTGCTCTCCAGGCTTCTGACGCAAAGAGCTGCATGCCATCGAAGGCGCTGTCGAGGTTCGCCGAGCGCGGCGAAATCGGGGGACATCGTCACCGACGAGCGCGTTGGAGTATTCACTCCGGACAAAGACCGCTGCACAGCGGATGGTATGGGCCGTGCAGCGGTCATAGCGGCGAGGCGCGGGACCGTCTGTGGCGAGGTGGGTCGCGTCCCCCGATTTCCTCAACTCACGGTCCACTCCCTCTATATTCATTCAAGACGTACGGAAGGTCACGTTGCTCTCACAGTGAAAACACAGTAAATCGCGCCACTCCGCTCCACATCGCTTTTCACGCCGGATGTAGAGCTCCACTCGCGATCAAGTGCTCAAGCTCCCCAGCGCTCTTCAGCGCGCTCTGCATCTCTACAGCTCTACAGTGCTCTTGGTACACTCTACAGCCTCTCACCCTCCCTCAGCTGGAGGACGCTTCACTTGCCCGCCAACATCTCGCGCGCGGCAAAGGCAGCGGCCGCTAGGGCGGCCGCAGCGAGCGAGGAGAGGGGCTCGACCACCTAGCGGGAGCGAGAGAGACAGAGAGCGAGTCGGAGAGTGCAAGTAAGAGAGGGAGGGAGGAGGGATTGCTCGCGCAGGGCACCTGGCCATCGATGTAGTGCATCGTCTTGGGGTTCGCAAACGCGACGACGAGGCGGCCGAGGGAGGGGCAGACCGCCTCGACGAGCGGGACGAGGTACTTGTTGCGTGCGACGACGGCCGCGCTGTTGTACGAAGTCGCGACGCCGTCGACGACCGGCCAGCCTCCGTGCTTGGTGAGCGGGCTGTGCAGCCCGTCGGCCACGACCTTGGTTATCTTGAGGACGGGCGCCTGTGGGGGGGAACGGGTGGTGGTGGTGGTAGT